TAAAAGGCGGGCGACCTGCGGCTGTTTGATTTCCTACTCTCTCCTGAGCTAGCGATTGGTGAGAATGGTTATTAATATATTGCCCGATGCACTTGAAAATCGGACAGTCATACCGCAATTGTGTTGAAACATTTTTGGGGCAGTAAGTATCGTCAGAATATTGTTTAAAATAAAATATTCCATCCCAATCAAATCTAGGTCAAAGGGTCAAATTGCGTGCATATAATTATATATAGTTAAAAACTAAATATATTTGAATATTTGACGGCTATTCAACGTTGTGCAAACCAGAATAAAAAAGGCAGTGTATACAATAGCGATATGACTGAGATACCATGGCATTTGTTTACAATATTGTACCGGCTCTAGTATTTGACACAGATGAAGTTGTTCGCGAACAATACAGAGTGGTATAGATTTAAAGATCCGTTCAGAATTTTCTTTGTATATCCCCAAACATTTTGACTACTCCTGTGCCGGTGACCAGTGTTTGGGCGAGCGGTCTGTGTTTTCAATAAGCGAGTGAGAGAAAAAAACGGTAAAAATGTGGTCGTTTTATACCCGATATTTAGGCCGAGCTCATCATTTGTTAAGTACAACATCAAATATTCTGGAGTGAGTCCAGAGAGGGAACAGCCAACACGCTTCTACGAGGAAAACGTGAAAACTCAATAGATTATTTATGTTATTGCATATAATAATAAGTTATCGTTATAAAAATAAAAATAAAAATAAACACACACGAAAATGGTAAACCCAAGGCACTGACAACTGAACTATCAATACTATTAAAGTAAGTCTTTTTCACTACGATTAGACGTAAAAATAGAGAATTGAAGATATCATCCCGAAAACAAATTTAAAATATGTCAAAATTTAAGTACATGATTTATACACAAAGTATCAAAGCAATCATACATGCAATTTTCAAGATAATGTCGAAAGTATCAAAAGACGACAGACAATTTGTAATATGATCAGCTAAAACGTGCAAGTCTACAAATCAAATATAAGGAAGTTTCCATGTAAAGTTTAATGGATTCCCCCTTCGATTTATAACCCAGTAGTTTCTTTGGCTTATCTTCCAACTGATTTTCTGTTCCTTCCATTCTCCACAGTATTTTTCGTAGTTCAATCAGATCACGTGTACAGTATTGTTCTATATTTAGATTAATGAGGGCAATGTATTGATGGATTATAAACTTTCTTGTGTTTCTTGTGTGAAACTAATTTACAAATCAATAGGCAATTAACGCCCATCAGTGCAAAAAAATGTCCAATTAATGACTTCTGTAAATGCAACTTATTCTTTAAGACTAAGATGCGATGTAAATAATGTGAAAAGTAATTGATCAACTTTAGATTTGTATTTATTTATTTATTTATTTATTTATTTATTATTTATGTATTTTGGGCCACTTGCCTTATAGTACAAATAAAAACATATATGTATAAGAACCCAAATCTAGATAATTACTGTATTTACTGGTGGGTTAAATTCAGTCAAGATTGACATGTGATATGCATTCTCGCATTTCTTTTGAAATGAGTGCAGACGAAACGGTAAAACAGCAAAATTACATGACAGGAGGGGTGGAAAATAATCGAAATTAATGATGACGTTTTTGGTGTGCCATCACAAAAAAAAGTGACATCTGAAATGCGTCTATCCAAGGTAAAGCACTCAACGTAAAATGCGCTGCTGCAATCGCAGTTCATTTATATTATGAGCGTACTTCCGTTTAGTTAGAAAGAAACACTATATTTAAAACAATTGTACTTGAAAACTCTTCTAAATGGGTGACTTAACCATGGAAATAGACATATTGCTTCGTAACTTTCTTTCTGCAGTTGATGAGTTTCATACACATGTGTATTATATAAAACATATACAATAGGTATTGTTCAAACATTATAGACAGTATACTACTTCATTTTAGTAAACAGTAATGGGATTTGTTTTACATAATTATTTATGCAAAATAATTTTACTAATAAGTGATTTACTAAAAGTTTTTTAATAAATTATGCTTTGTATATTGACAAAGTATCATTTATATCAATGAAACGCGAATTATATTAAATACGTCGTTGCAATTATTTGTAGATGTTTTATGGAGTATGCGGATTTTTAGTTTACTCGTGACAAATTTGAAATCAAGATTTTACTTTGCAAATGATTACTTACTGTGTTCTGATTTCATTTGCCAGTATTCATTGAAATGAATGGCAAATACAAATACGGCCATTGCAAACGTTTTATTGATAGTTTATTCATACACCTCCCTAACATTGACTGAGATTAATATAGAAAGCTACTTGCCCGAGAACCGCCGGTTGCATTCGATGAATATACAATCCCATGATATTTCTGTTTGTTGAATTGTATGATGACACTCAATGCTCGTCCATGGCTCAGATTTACACACCCACTGACGAAAATCATTAACGCGACGTGACGTCAATAATTGTATTATACCAGTACATGAATATATGATAAATACGTCATTACAATTGGACAAAAGACCACCTGGGACGCTGCTTACTGTGCATATATCCAATGGCTGAAGTTATTCTTTGTCACCAACAATGAATTGATACTAAACCAGTAATATTCGAGTAACGATCACGAAACGAGTTAAATATAGTTTAATACGCAGAATGCGAAATAATTTTTACAGCATTTACATATGGAAATTATTTTTTGTCACACGTTAGTTTGAATAAAAACAAGTTGCGATATGACGGCTACACAATGTTGTTCAGTAATCCCATTTTATTCTTTGGACAATTGGTTGATTATGATAGTATTAACATTGTCTAAATGGCGAAAAGGCATAAGTATAATACACAATTACGACTACGATGTCTTTGAGAAAACACTTATATGTTAGTATTTATTTATTTATATCTAGATTTATTTCCTAGTAATGGCGACAATGTGGAATATAGAGTAACATCAGCATACTCGTAATGTTATTACAACACCGGATACACCACTCGGGTTACGTTCAGTGGCAGAAAAGTAGTCCGGAATATCTTCTATGGTGACGTCATTTACCAAATATCTCCTTTTCAGTTGTTGGATACATTCACGCAATTCTCCACAGAATACATCATTTGGCGGAGGACTTCGCCTTGTCACAACGATTATGTATCCACCTACGCATCACGAACAACGATAAACAACAAGGAGAGTGATGATGCATCAATAAATATTATATTGTTTAATTATTATACCAAGTCAACAGTGTGGTGAAAACGTCAATATGATTGGTCGACACCCTGTTTTAATTCTTATAGCACGTTTATCCGTGGGTAATGGTTTTGAACTTATGGTTCATAAAATATGTTTATTTCGATGACATTAAATCTATCACCATTTCCACAAAAATTACAATATGAAAACGCTCAGTGTATCTCAAATGGTCATTATATTTTACTCTCAGACTGGTCACGTCCACAACGCTCCCGATTTTTATCGTTTTCATTGTTTTTTTTTTAATCGTTATGCTACGCGAAAATAGGGCTGATATAAAATAATACCAATAACCCACACTAAGTCAGATTTAACATATATTGCATGAGCATAATTTACCTGATTTTACGATACGAACAAGCTTTTGTAGATGGTTAGGTTGCATTAGATTATAACCAAAACAGCCACACGCAGTCACCACGTCATATGAATCTACGATCAGAAAGAATGAGTTCGTAGGTAAATATCGTATTTCAATATTAAATAAATAAATAAATAAATAAATAAATAAATAAATAAATAAATAAATAAATAAATAAATAAATAAATAAATAAATAAATAAATAAATAAATAAATAAATAAATAAATAAATCTAAGAGTTTGGGGTGAGATTTCTAACACGCATTGGGGACTTCCTGTTTAACACGAACTACATGCAAGTGAGACAAAAAATCTCGAACAAATGCAAGCAGCCTCGTTCCAGGAGCTTGCTGTGTGGTTTTTTTCCCGATAAAACACCCAAGCATGTTATTTAACAAAATGTTATAAGTGTTTAGAGTGGATGCAACGCGACTTAAATTAGCGGATTTGCTATTCAGCATCACAAAAGCATATTCCGCTGAACGTACGAGTGCCAGACAAGTATAAAGCAGCAAGTAATTTTTGGAACTCTACTAAATAAAAAAATAGTATGAGCAGGTACATATTTACACAGCTGTGCCTCCGACACAAACTGTGTCGTGAGTTTATGTCTTCTGCATTTTAAAGCGGGAGAGTCGTCACCTGCGCATGTGTCAGATGGCCATAGCGTGTCATTGTTTACAAACAAGCGTCTACCCATGAGCCTTTGCGTTTTAGAGTGTGTTGTTATCGTCGCTTGGGACTTAATTCCAGTGCGTGCGCAGGTGACGACCCCCCCCCCCCCACCCGCTTTAACAATTGTGATACTTCCAAGAGGTTCTACTTTCGGCAATGATATTCAGAAGCCATGTTTTAATAACATCGCGTTGACGGCCCCTGCTCACTTTGCAGTTCAAGTTCTATGTCACGTTCATATATACGACTGCCACAGTGCCAAAAGTGACTGATTGATTGATTGATCGATCGATCGATTGCTTGATGGACTGAAATAATAACGTGCCTTCATCTATGTCCAGTTTGTCTTCCCCAACAGCGCAGCACATCAGTTTTTTGTAAACTTCTTTTTTCTCTGCAATGGCAAGTGACTCACCGGAAGGATCGAGCGCGTCAACATTTGTATAACCATATTCATACAACTGAAAAAAATAAATATGAATTGACAGTTACAGATCATTCTGTTCCGTGAAAACTATTTTTGACTTGTCAAATACGGAAAATAGTATTACGAAACGTCAAAGTATTTTTTTTCTCCTTTTCAAAACATAATTCTGCATATTTTTCCCCCATATGCAAAACCCCAAAAGACAATATTAATTTTAAATTGCGTCTTTTTAAATATATAACAAATATACATAAAATATGTAGACATATCTTGGGAATGAAGAATGATCGACAACAGAACACGCAGCATTTTGCGGAGAAAAAGAATAGCTATATACAGCTGCTTCACAATCTATATTTTGAACGTTAGTACTCATATTTCGTCAATACATTGATAGAGAGGTATATTTAAATCGTAATGAGCGTGCGGACGTTTTTGCTGTATTTAAGACCAATTTAAACACATACCGATTTCTTACTGAATTAATCACCTAAATATTATAACATAATTGCAGCAATGATTTTAAGTATACTGATTCTTTTTATGAAGCATCCCACGCACTTCTGACTAAATATACATTCAGTAACTGTTCAGACCTAATTTAATTTTCATTTACCTCTGAACCAACTAATCCAGTGCCCGCAGCAACATCAAGTATTCTAGTCTCTTTCCCGGTTACCAGTTTCAACATTTTGTTCACTGTATATTTATGAGCATTGTATCCTAGTCCAAGAACATCCTACTTTAATAAACATAATCATTTTAATGAATAAATAAGAGTTATCAATGTTCATGTATTAGAACACAAATACGAGTCATGCAATAATGTTATGCATACGTATAACATCACTACAAACAATATATTTCTGATATACACTCTGTATATGCATACCTAATTATACATCGACTATCTGCTACGTGCAATAAACTGTGCTCTGCAGACAGGATTTGTGTTTTTATTTAGCAATCGTTTACGAGTTTGTGTGGCTGTATTTTTCAGCGATAATATTTTAGAACCAGCCATATTAATTGGTCTCTCTCGGTATGCACGCCAGTAAAATAAAGCCTGGTGCAATGTATACAATACCTGATCATAGGTGTCACTCCAAGAATTGTACACTTTCAAAGCTTCCTCTTCTGTCGTACAACGCTGTAGTGAATTAACTATTTCCGTTGAGCGAATTTCTGCTGAAGTTGTTCCTTCCATGTCCTACTAAATTCACTCATAAACGTGAAAATCTTTCACCACTTTACAGTACGGCACGCGTACATCGAAAGTACAGGATTTTTCTATATTTACAGTAGTGATGGCGTTGGATTAATTAATTATGAACCTTATTGTGTTGGTTTGTTGTGTCGCCTCTCTACCGTACTACACACACGCTTATGGATTGCCGTTTGTGCATTTAATTATATAGCGTTTTCATGGGTTTAAGCTTATTATATTTTTATCATTAATAAATAATATTACAAATCAATTATATAGAAATCATGAGTTAACATGTTTGTTTTATTTTTAAATGATAAGATTCGTACTATTATATATATATATTATATATATTTATGTACATTTAGTTATTTATAAATAATTATACTTTCAACACTGAAATGTTATTTAGTTATGACGCATATATTTAGTTTCATGCCGTATTCAAGATGGCGCCCCCTAAATATCGCACCTGTGTGCCAACTGAAAGTGGTTATACACGGATTTGCCGTGCTATCGTTTGGGTTATCAATTTCCGGGTCACGTCGGGTCATGGATTTTTTTTTATATGTAAATAATACACGTGTGTACATTGTTTTTATTATATAATTCACGAAATTGTATGCAAACCATTCAAACATTTCTAGCTTGCCCAAATCATTTATTTATGAATCAGTTTCAACGTTTTTGCTATATAATGATTTTAGTCGCCAAGTGTGCAAAAAATGTCAATTTTCATTATTTAGTTATCATAATATCTAGGATTTGTAAACCGTACCAATATTCGTATTATTTACATACAAAGACTCTGTATCTGGCTTGCATTATTTATTTAATAGTCATGACAACGCCACCAACGTCCATAGTTTGTAAAATAAAGTTATATTCATCGAGTTGCAATTATTCTTACACTTTGATGTTCATGCTTCGTTATTTACATTCAATGCACATATTCAAATTTATTTAGCAACGATATAGGAAATACATGAGTCTGTATTATTATTTACAAATAAAGAGCTTACTTAAACATAATGGTACTTATTAAGCACATATTGCATGGCCATGAGGGCACTAGTATACGTCTATTCCCCCCGAGGGATTGTGGGGTACCAACAATACCTGCTATTTCACGAGGCCGCAGAAAACTGAAATAAAAAAAACACAACAACAACACATGATCAGAAAAAAAGATGTCAAAGAAACCATACAAATGTTTATCTTTCAACCATGCGAAAGTTTTAAAGAGAGCCATGGTACCACATACACTTTGTTGGAAATAAACAAAATATGCGATAAGATAACTGAAATGACCCGCCCATGCTCTACAAAATGCATGTAAGCAGTTTCAGTGAAATTAAGAACGGTTAAAAAAAGGTTCGAAAAATTGATTCCGTGAAAAGACTGCTAGAAAGTTGTACCGAAAGTTCAATGTGTTCAAAAATTGTGGAGTTGACTAAAACCTGATTTAACGGCACGCTGAATATTGCAAAATGAAAAATCTGCCAAAAAACTGAAACAGGGACAGACAAAAAATGTGTAAAGACTTTAAACAAAATGGCTGACACAGTGACACGAAAGCACAACGATAAAATTTACTCTAATAAGCCCCGAATCGCATACAACCGTCATAAGTACGCACAGTAGTATACTAAAAAATCATTTGGTAGTATTTTTTATAATATAATGTATTTTAAAATAATGACTTAGGGGTTAGAATTTTCGTCAATTTTTATTCCGGGACCCAAGCTTACTTTCTTGACAACAGTGAAAACGATAAATGACGATTCTCGATTCTGAATGTTATCACAGTTACAGAGAGTACTCATCCGAAATGTACGTATAGTTCTTCGTAGATCCCGTTCACTAAACGTGGATATTCTATCGAAAACGAGCTGAAAATTTCAAATTCGCGGGACATCAAGTTATCGACATAAGAAAGAATCAAAATGGTGGGCCTTGAAATCTCAATCGATAGAGGGCGTACACAGCGCTACACGCAGCCCTGAGGGATTGGGCAGATTCACACCTTTTAACAATAGTGTTTCCTAACCGTCTTTTTTAGTAACCGTGGTTACATTGACTTTCAACTGCGATTCATTAAAGTGGTTAAATTCACAAACACATCTTTCAACATGCAAAACAAATAAACTATTTCGGCTCCGTGGCATTATATCGGTTGTCTCAACAAACGCCATATTACGAGGCTGCTGTATAATCAAAATTAAATGTTGTATACAACCGAGTACCGTGTATGTGTGTCTACTAGTATACTGAACATGGTTTTCCATTACCTTATAAATATACCTATAAATGACCCCACTGAACAACTGTGTAAGCCAAATAATATCCCTGCCCTTTCGGTGCTTGATTTCGACATGTTTCATTATTTTACAACTATGGCAATCACACTGGTTCAAAGTATTGCCTCACTATGGAATAGACATTTTGATCTCAATTGTCCCGAGTATTGCTTATCCCTAAGACGAAGCTAATCTATTTAGAATATTGACCACCACTGGTGAGATTATATTGTCCAATACATGGGACAAGTGGAATAATACTATGTCCATAGCAAGGGTCCGTGTATCGTGCAAGTAGTATAAAACTATTCTTCCAGTGACGACCGGTTCATGGGGAAAAAGTATTATCCCTCAATGGCCCCAACAACATGGGAGACAATAATATCCCTAAGTGGTTCCAACAACAGGAGGGTTATTTTTATCACTGAGTGGTCCCAACAACAAGGAAGATAATATTCTCCCTGAGTGGTCCCAACAATAAGGGACATAATATTATCCCTGAGTAGTCCCAACAACAAGGGGGACGATATTATTCTTGAGTGGACCCAAAAACAAGGGATATAATATAATCCCAGAGTAGTCCCAACAACAAGGGAGACAATATTATCTCTGAGTGGACCCAACCGCAAGGGAGATAATATTATCCCAGAGTAGTCCCAACAACAAGGGAGATAATATTATCCCAGAGTAGTCCCAACAACAAGAGAGACAATATCATTCCTGAGTGGACCCAACAACAAGAGAGACAATATTATCTCTGAGTGGATCCAACCCCAAGGGAGATAATATTATCCCAGAGTAGTCCCAACAACAAGGGAGATAATATTATCCCTGAGTGGTCCCAGCAACAAGGGAGATAATATTATCCCAGAGAAGTCCCAACAACAAGGGAGATAATATTATCCCAGAGAAGTCCCAACAACAAGGGAGATAATATTATCTCTGAGTGGACCCAACCCCAAGGGAGATAATATTATCCCAGAGTAGTCCCAACAACAAGAGAGACAATATCATTCCTGAGTGGTCCCAACAACAAGAGAGATACTATTATCCCAGAGTAGTTCCAACAACAAGGGAGACAATATCATTCCTGAGTGGACCCAACCCCAAGGGAGATAATATTATCCCAGAGTGGTCCCAACAACAAGGGAGATAATATTATCCCAGAGTAGTCCCAACAACAAGAGAGACAATATCATTCCTGAGTGGTCCCAACAACAAGAGAGATACTATTATCCCAGAGTAGTTCCAACAACAAGGGAGACAATATTATCTCTGAGTGGACCCAACCCCAAGGGAGATAATATTATCCCAGAGTAGTCCCAACAACAAGAGAGACAATATCATTCCTGAGTGGTCCCAACAACAAGAGAGATACTATTATCCCAGAGTAGTTCCAACAACAAGGGAGGTAATGTTATCTCCGAGTGGTCCCAACAACATGGGAGATGTTATAATTTCTGATTGGCCCCAGTAAGGGAGGTAATATTATCCCCGAGTTGTTTCAATAACAGAGATAGTAATACGTAGTTATATAGGAATTTTCAAAATTTTCGTAATTTTTGGTTAAATTTTGCTATTTTGATTATTATTGCATTTTCTGCAGTTGAAGGGAAATTGTCATGGTCATAATAATTCCATGTTGCTGGAAAACACTGTTGTTACAAGTCATCAGAATCAATGTAGCGCGTGACCCGCCATGTCCTTTCCTACCGATGTAATTTAATGTTGAATAAACGTTCTCCCGTTAAATAAACTTTAGTTTCATGTTTAAGTAACTAAAACGTTTGTGTCTACTTTATTTTTTCGGATATGCTCTCGAAGCAATTTCCTACAGGCACTCCCATCAAAACAAACTGCTAACACAACATACCACAATAAAGATGTCGGGGAATCATAAGTTCTCGGCATGGCGTTCACTTCAACATACGCTAACCACAGTCAGCTGATGCACAGGTGATTATAAGATAAATGTGATATTTACTATAGTGGAGACTTTCAAAAGTGTTCTATTTTCTTCGTGTAATTAGGTGTTCCTATGCAAAGGATTGTTCCACATAAAAACGACAAAATCCGATTTTGTTAGCGGTTGGCTTAATATTACCCCCAAATGATCGTTTTGCTGTAAAAGACTGGTATTTTTTCCCAAATTTGTAGGAATCTGAAAAAAATCGTCTCGCCTCTTTATTTAGTTTTATGCCGAATTCAAGATGGCGGTCTCCATTTAGGAAATTTATTTTTACTATCACTTTTACGCCGGCTAAAACACGGAATTGCGCGACCGCAGATTGACATCCTACATATAAAGACGCCAATGTTTTCGCCGCAGCTGAGTGGGGACGTACCCGGACACCTCACATCGAGTATCATTGCGCTACTGGGCTGATAATAAAGGTCGCGGATGTGCGATGCGATGCAATACAAAATAATGTTAATGATGTTGAGAGGTAGGCACATCTTATGAATACTATTCTAACATCAAGTTATTAATGGAAAGTATTGTTCCGCAACAATTTATTTTTTTCTCGCCCTGCAGTGACAGTTATTGTAACAGTTAAGTCGAGCCAAATAATATAATATAATATATATTTTATAATAGTGTAACATCTGTGTGAGCCACCAAGAATTTCGGAATTGCACAGCGCCACTAGTGGTTGTCTATGTGTCTAGGAATTTACCTATCACTATGTTCGCATGTCA